TGCGGGACTCTCGCATCTTAATCTTGCAGCGTCTGAAGGATTCCTGGAGGGTTTCCCCCCAAAATGATGTCATATCGGCCTTGAGATGTACATGAACGTTCATGGCAGTAACTAGTTCATGACCGGGCTTGAATCCTGACTGATCCTTGGGCTAACCCACACGTGTCCAGTAAGTGGTTAGAAGTAGGGTTATAGGCTCAGCAAGTATAGGCTGTTTCCAAGTCGCATGAACCGTCAAGTAAAGCCCAAACCCTATCCCTTAGGAGGATAGGCTCCTAGTGTATTGGGTTTCATGTATGAATGCTGCACTGACGTGGGAGTTTCGCAAATTAAGGTCCCTTTGGGGATCCGTACAATGAGGTTTCTAGTATATTCGGCTCACGTTTGGCAACCCTAAGCCCCAAACCCTCAGCCACGCTTGCTAGCACGAAGCCTTTCTTGCTTGTTCCGACACTGGCCATCTTCGGGTGCTGTTGAGGAACTTAAATTTAGTCACTATGTTGGAGAAGCCCTATTATTTACGATAGATACCCATTATTGCAACTTAACTTGACTTCCCTAACAGCAACCCAGTCTTGACAGATCATCCGCAAGATGAGATATTCCTACAGCTTGCCGGCCACTTAGAGTCCGAGAGTGCGCGAGGCTCTTCATGAGGACTCCAGCAAGCAGGAAGCCATCATTATTTTTACTATTATTATCCTTTTCTATTTTAGTACTATTATTACTACTCTGATTATTAGTATAATTCTTGCCATGCTTATTGGTACTCATTATCATACTTTCCCTAAATCAGTATAGTACATTTCACGTGCTTGGGGAATAGTGAACTATGCGCAGTCCACAGAGACAGAGCGTGCAGTGAGTCTCTTGAATCAAGCCCGCTGTGGCATAGATTCCCATGTCAGTAGTATTTTATTTGGGGATACTATGGTACCCATTATAGAGTAAGACTATATCCTCCTTTTGGGGTATAGTATTTTATATAAGGAGCATAATCTTACTAGGTTCAACCACCAAAAAAACACTACTCATGTGATGTCATGGTGGGATTACTGAGTTCTGGCGACTAGGTCTTCAAAGGTGAATTTTTCCCTCCTGACTAAAACTCTGGAGTCTAGTTGAGGAGTAGAGGTAGTGAGGGGTTGCTCGTCTTTCACCACCCAAGAATGCATGATGGTTGGGTTGCTGTGTTGCCGTTTCAAGGATATAGTCCCCCTTAATTAGACAGAATACGGGGTATAGCACGGTTCGGGCCTCGGTAGCCATGGTCTTTCTCAAAGTCGAAGTCCCTCCTACAAGGAGTTGGAACCGCAACCCCCCAAAATAGGACTCTGAGTTGCAAGGGGGCTATAACAGGGTCCTTATTTTGGCGGTTGTGGCTACCAAAATCCTTCTAGACTCCCACAATGTGAGAAACCACAAATCCTGAAACCGAACATGAACCGTTTACCTCACACATCACCTGCTGTCGTGGTCTCAATGTATGGGGGTTTCCCAAATTTAGGAGTACTTTTAAAGTGACGTATAGGGGATATATAGGGTTAAGGCATTAGGGTTTAGAGTTAGGGCTTCCCCAAGTTAGGGGTACCCTTTTTGGTTTCCTCATAGTAGGCACTGTTGTATTTTGGGGTCGATATTGGGGTCCCCCTAGTTTGGGAAACTGCCACTTTTAGTATAGCCCACGAAAGAAAGGGGCCGATGATTTGGTAGTAGCTCACTTAGCGCCAAACTTTGAGGCCGCGTATGTGGAAAGACAAGTTCATCGCTTCCAACTGATCGAAGCTCATGTGGGAGGCTCCCTACATCTGGTCCCTAAACCCCAAACTCTAAATCCTAACCCCTACATTAGAGTTCAGTGTCCACACAGTTCAGTACAGCAATAGTACTGGTCGCTTGTGTACTATGCTTTGGGATGTGTAGGGCTCTACAACAGGGGCCAGCATGTAGGGAGTCTGTCACACGCGTTTCACCAACGAAGTTGGTTAACATCTCTTGATAATGCATTCCGCTTTGGTGCAGACAGGAATCTGCACCATTGGAGACAGAGTGTTTCTCTGTGACTGCAATTCTCCAAAGGAGAGTTGCTACCAACCACAAGATTCTGGCTGAGCCACTATCCAAAAAATGGTAGCTTCCCTTAATAGGCGGCCCCCAATATAGACCCCCAAATGCTATAAGGCTATAATCCTTAACCCTAAACCCTAAACCCTCCGAAATGGTACCCCCCCAAATAGTACCTATTTCATCCTGTTGGACCTACTGTCCTAGAAAACGGGGCGTGTATGAAGTTCCATATGAGCTACAGTCTAAACTCCCCAAAGAGGGTTTATGTAGGGGACTGCTATAGGGCTTATTAAGGGGGATACTAGGAGTTTAGACAATGGCTCATATGAGCTACAGTCTACACTGCTTAAGGGGGGGTTGTATGTTGGATTATATAGGGGAGTTTTGTACATGATCATAGGGGATACTTGATGTTCAGACTATGGCTCCTGTTAGTTTGGGGGAGGGTGAATTTTGGCGTTCGTGGTATATATAGTACTATTACTATTGTCATGTTTGCTATTACTGCTATAACTGTTATTACTATGACATTTTTAAATGGCTAAATTATTCGTATTATGAGTAATATTATTGCTATATTGCTGAGGGTCTTCACGGGAAGGATGCCCGTGCAAAAGCCAGGAAACTCCTTGCAGGGGTTTAGGGTTCAGGGTTTAGGTTTGAGGGCTTTGGTTGTATGTTACCAAACGGGTTAGTATAGAGATAATGGGAAACAAAATGGGAACGACGATATTATGATAGGGTATATGTGGGGCTGAGTAGGGAATGCGGGTATGTATTATATATGGATTACTTAGGTAGATGTATAGGATTTTGCGCTGTCTCAGGCTTTGTGCTTTAGAGGGTCAACCCCTTTATTTTGTCGCAGAACGGCGGTCGAGCCTGCAAGAGTCGGTGGTTTAGGGATTTAGGGTTTGGGGTTAAGGGGTGTACGAACCGAAGCCTGAAACATAAAAAGCGCATTACCTCGCCTCACAGCCCCAAAAGTTGCAAATAGTCAAGCCCGCCTAGTACTGAACCCCTCTGACTGCAGACGTTCCCCAACACATGGCAGTAGAATATTGGGAATGTTGATGCTCGTGTGGGGTTGTGTTCATAAAGAGAGGGTAGGGATTCGGGCTTCAACAAAGTCATCCCAAACCACGCTAAAACCCAAAGCCTAAAGCCCAAACCCTAAACCCCAAACCTTAAACGCCAAATCTTAACCCCCAAATCCTGAACCCCGAACCCTGAATCCCAAAGCCTAAGCCACGAATCGTGCGATAACTGCAGGTCCAGGCAGGGCTCCAGTTTCTGTCATTGATGCTCGTTATCTCTTTCAAATAAATGTAGCGCACCATTCATTTTAGGGTTTAGGGGTTACGAGCTTCAATCGTTGAAACAGGGTTTTAACAAGGAAGAAAGATAATCATCTTGGTACTTGTTCAGACTTCTGCCGTACTTCTGGCTTTCTGCGCACTTTTGAGACCTTTTCAGGCCCCCCGCCCCCTGGTCCTGAGCTTTTTAAGCCCCACATTGGCCCTACATCCTTCAACGTCATGCCCCAACCATGAGCTGCCGTGAAGAAGCCTGAACAATCACGAACACCATGCACCACACCCAAGACATGAGCTTTGTTGCCAGGCTGCTTCTTCGACTCATCGAAGTAGCTTGGGCGCAGCGAAAATGCCCAATTCAAGAAGCCAGAGATTTAAAGTGCGGTCTAGGGGTCATGCTTCAGGCTTCTATGGCGTTGTTTCTCTTAAGCATGCTGTCTGAGACTCCAACTTCATCATAGGGGGCTTTAAGCAACTATGGAGATGTGTCAGGTAGAATTGCAGCATGCCAGAGGTTCTTTCAGGAAAATCAAAGCCCGAAGTGGGAGCACCACAAGCTTCTGGTAGAGCCAGCTGGCAGTAGTAATAGATCCTCTCGATTTTCCATCGGAGCCATGCATGGAAATTGGAGCGTGCTGGTACTGACCTGCGCTCCAGTGATCCTGGCTTGGATTGGCACTGGCTGAAGGGAGTGTGTGCAGGGCTTCTGGGGCATTTAGGGTATATTGTAGGGGCTCAGACAATTAGAGTAGGGTTGAGGCTTTAGGCTTTTAGGTTTAGGGTTTAGGGTTAAGCTCCCCGTAAGCTGGAAACCCTAAGCCTGAAACCCTAAACCGTACATCAGGTTGTCTACCTCTGTTGTGGGAGCCCAAAGCTGCAGTGTTGACGTTGAAAAGCCTCAGGGCTCAGGGCCCACGGTGGCGTCCGAAGTTTCTAGTTAGGGGACTACAGTAGTTTCCGTTTTATTTTCCATTATCCCCCAATTTTTGCCGGTATCGTTTAAGACTAACCATACTAGGGTTATATTCGGGCTATATTTTGGCTATATTAGGGTTTAGGGTTTAGGGTGGGTCCAAAGCTTCTGGACTTCCGGGAATTTCAAGAATTCAGGACCATTTTGTACCATCAGCTTTTAGGACCACAGAAGATTTGCCTTCATCGTGTCTTGTCAAAGGTCTTCTAGAGGGGAGTTCTCTGACGCAACCCCGATGAACCCAGCGCCTAGATCCAGAGCTTCAGATCCTGGAACTTATCCCTAGGCCTTACGCCCTTAATCCTATACCGCATCCTTAAACGCGAAGATCCTGAGCCAAAGCCCCTTCGTACAGGCCAAAAAAGCCAGAACATGGAAACAGGATGATTTGTGGCTTGAGGTAGATGGATGTTGATGTTTCAATTCCTGAATTTATCCTTACATCTCTTACATGCAAAGCCCCTGATCTTCTACCCCAATATAAGCCCAATATTATACCCCAATATAACCCCCCAAATCCGCCATATAGCAATAGTAAAAATAACAATAGTAATAGTCAGAAGACTAATAATAATAATAACCAATAGCCCAACCTAGGCCCTCAACCGAACCAGCTAGAAGAACTTCTGGCACTTCCGTGTCAGGTCTTCGTGGCCCTCATCGTGGCATGCGTCCTTTCCCGCTTTGCGGACAAGGACCACGGGGCACTGGAAGCCCTGTGTAAGGCAGGGCTTAGTAGGGCTTAGGGTTGTGGCCTAAACCCTAAACCCTAAACCCTAAACCCTAAACCTGTAGAGTTCTGGGTGCTCTGAACTCGAAGCCTTGCATGCTCACAAGCGATTACGGCGCAGGGGTTCAAGGTTGCTTTGGTTGGGGGTCTTGATGCTCGCATCTCATAGCAGCTGTTGTGCTGGCTGAACCCTACACCCTAAACCGCCTGGTGGCGAGGATCGGGAGCTCTAACTCCAGTTGCAGTTCTTGTCGCTTGTGCGAGCCTTCTTGCCGATTGTCAGTAGGGAATGGACGAGTGGCTCCCTTTGGTAACTACTGCATAATCCCCACAGATATCCCCAGATGTGGTTGTTCGATTTTCTTTTCCATTCCAACATTCCCCGCTAACAGCCAGCAAGTAAGATCTTCGTCTTTGCTGCCGTCCTTGCCGTGCCATTTTCGTCACATGCTAGGCACCATTGCTTCCTTTCAGCTGGTATCCATACTTACTTGGTGATTGCTTTTGGTTGGAACCTCTGGCGATCCAAGTCATCCCAAACCCCGCCTCTGCCGCCCAAACTGACACTAAAGACCTAGACCTCACGAAGTAAACCTGCAATTATTCCACAAGCCCGAAAACCCAGCATCCAAACAGTGCAAGATGCCTTTGGAGGATGCAAGCTGGTCGACTCGACATGCTCTTGGGAACTGGGACTTTCCAACAATCGGGGATCCTTGTTTGGGGCTGCTTAATATGGAGACTGCAGTCTATGAGGGTCGGGAGTGAGGTCCCCCTTGCTAATGGAAAGCACTGAAGCTACCATTTTGTGTTGATCCCAGATGTGCATCGCTAGAAGAAACCCCTACAACAGGCATCTGGACCCCGATCGGGCGCTGGGGGTGTACGATCGAGGGTGAGGTAGAAGGGACCATGTCTGGCATGCCTCAATGGGTGTTGGCTTCTGATCCTTGTCTTGAAAGCCTCAAGGCAAAACACCTGGAACAACGAACGTTTATCTTCGGCTGTGTGAGTGCGTGTCCGGTACTTCTTGAAGTGCTCGCTTGGCCTTCAGCACTCCTTGAGTCGCACGGACAAGAAGGGGGGCGTTGAATCAGTATAACGGAAGTGATTAAACCAAGGAGTCGACAATTTTAGACTCCCAGGAGAACCTGTCTTTTGGGATGCAGTGGGTTTCTCAAAATGCTTTTTCATCAGAAGGGTTACAGTAAGTTGAGGCCACAACTCTTTTCTCCAAATGCAATTGTCGCCTTGCCTCTGGAGTGCGCGTGCAAAACAAGGCGGGCGCATGATTCTTGGGGTCATAAGGTCAGGACGGAGTGTTGAAAGTTTTGGGCTCAGGGTCTAGAATTCGGAGCTTTGTGGTTTCGGAGTAATGCATATTGGGTGGAGGATTTCTCAGCACAACCTCAAAGGCCTTCAGGCCTCACATGACAGGGCAATTGCCTATTGTTCGATGTGTACCTTGAGTCCTTTTGTTTTATATAGACAAGACGCCTGGTAACCTTGTCCGCTTTTTTTGAAAGCATCCCTTGCAACGTATAGCATGTGGTACTCACACGATTATCCTGTGTCTTCAGGCTCCAAAACCCAAAAATCCGAGCCTATAACCCTAGACTCAAAACCCTGAACCTTTAACTACCCAAGCTCAGAGCCCTAAACTCGTTGTAGCACAGCAGCTGGGACGAGCCAGGCTCTCTCTCATGACCAGCGTGGCATGGCCCCCGGAATGGGGGGGGGTTTCCAGCAATTAGGGTTTAGGATTTAGGATTTGGTGAGGGTTTAGGGTTTTACCGAGTTAGGGTTACCTTTCAAAGGGATATAGGGGCTATAAAATATTATGAAGGGTTGTATAGGATATATCATTTACAGAGTGTAGGGTTTCCAAAAATTAGGGTTACCTTTTTGGAGTCCATATAATAAGGACATTAGTATAATGGAGCCCCTCAGCCCTATCACTGAATTGAAGGGTTTAGGGCTAAGAAGAGGGCAGCGAAGGGTGTAGGGCTTCACGCAAAACATTTTAGAGCCCTTTATTAGGTTTGAGAGACGCTTTTTTCCACAAGGTGTATTTGGGACTTTTGTGGCTCAAGGCTTCTGTTGGAGATTTCTGCGATGCATTTTTTTTTGTGGGCGCTGGGTGGAATTGGGAATGCGCATGCCTTGAGATCCCCATAGCTTGTAGTCAGTACCCCAAACCCTAAACCCTGGGTTTGGGCATTGAATTTATATTTGTTTTGATCAGGGTTTACCAATGGTCTAGGGTTAAGGCAGGGCTGGAAGGGTCAAGTGTAACGGTGCGAAGGCAGTGACTGGTTTCTGCTGTTGATATCTTGGGGTTTCCTCAATTTGGGGCCACAATATGGACCTAATCTACTATTATCCTAATTATGGGGAACCTAAGAAAGGAATCCACCAGTTTTTCTATCTCCCCATTTCTGTGTTCTGTCTGGCACTATCAAGGCCTTAGATGTTGTTAGATTTTTGGGCCGGAGTGACCGAGAGACATTGGTGGATGGCAGTAAGTTGCAACTGACAGCATGTATTCAGTCGCATTTTTTTGGGGGGGATTGGGCACAAATAACGACGCTGCCATCCTGCCAGCTTTCCTCAAAAGGCCTTTGCCCCCAAACCCTTAACCTGAAACCCCATACCCTTAATCGCTAAATCCCAAGCCGTCAGCCCTAAATCTCAGCATCCCAAAAACCTCAATCCTAAATCCCCGAACCCCCAAAAAACTTCAACCCTCAGTCCTCAAACCCCCAAACCCTCAGTCCTCAAACCTCAAAACCCTCAACCCTCAATCCCCAAACCCTGAGCTTCACTCTGACCCCTCAGGCTGGGGTCACTATTGCTATCAGCGTCGTGGCTGTCATGCCCTATGACGTGTGGCAGGCGAAGAGGGTTTCGGGTCTGTGGAATTCAGGGTTTTGGGGTTTTGGGGTTGAGAGTTTAGGTTGTGCGAAGGATGTCTTTTGCCTTTCTTCTCGAACCCTACTCTATACAGGAATTCTGCGTGATCTTTCTATAGCTACATGCCACAATTTCGCGGGGTATTCGTAGGTTACTCATGGCCATGCAAGATTTCGAGCATCCTCAGTATGTGGGTCTTTGCCACACTGAATCAGGGGCCCTTTCTTGGTGGATGTTAAGGCATCCCAATGCATGTGGGTCTACCGTTTCATTCTGGGTAACGGCCAAGGGGGAGATCCATTGCTTCAAGCCCAAATCCCAAACCCTAAATCTTGAAGCCTGAAGCCTAAATCCTAAACCCTGCGCCGTACATCCTATTCCCTAAATCCTAAGCCGTGCGGTCGTTTCTGAAGGCCTAAGGCCTTGTTGGGCTTTTAGGGTGTAGGGGTTTATGCTTTAGTGGGCTTAGGGTATAGGGAGGTAGCCAAAATCCACTGTGGCAACCTGTGTGGGAAGCCGGGAGCAAGAGTTGGCCCTGGCCCCTGACTAACAGTAACAGGCACACCCGAACGAGCAATAACGGCAGAACGCATCAAGACGGGTAGGGTTTAGGGTTTAGGGTTAAGGGTGTTGGGCTTAGGCCCAAGGGCTTTCGAGGCATGCTCAGAACTCTAAACCATACCCTAAGCCACTAACCCCCAAAACCCTTAAGTCAGGGTCAGAAATCTACAAGCAGAAGCCTTTAGAAGTACCAATTTTACCCTTTCATAATCCCCATATCAGAAGGTGCATGATATTCCAAGGCCGCATTCAAATAAAACAGGCCCCGCACTCAACAATCCTTACAGCCACCTCTACATAGGTCCAGTTTCCATTTCATTCCCAATTGATTCTCAGTCTGTCACTTAAATAGGGGTTTGAACCCCTAAACTGTACATGTCCCTACAACCCCTAAACCTCAAACCCTAAACCCCAAATCCTAAACTCTACACTCCAAACCCCAAACCCTAAACCCTACTCCCAAACCCTAAACCCTGAATCCCTAAACCCTACCATAAAATACTACAGTAGTTTCCATTTTCTTTTCCATTATCCCTATATTCAGAACTTCATTTAAAGCGGCCGCGCGGCACTAACCTGCATCCCAGCCTCCCTCATTTAATCAAACATTTTTTGGTGGATATATGATAGTTTCCCAAAATAAGGGGACCCCAATATAGACCCCAAAATCCTATAGTCCTTATTACTGGGACCTCCAAAAAAGGTACCCCTAACTTTGGAAACTCTCATATCTGGAGGTTTCCAAAAATTAAAGGTATTTGGGGGGGTCCCCATCATAAGGATTATATCCATGGAAACTACCATATATTTATATATACGTGTAGATATTTTGTGCCAGAATTCTGGGCATGCAAGGCTTCAAGGAGATAATTTTCGAAGCATGAACCCTACTTCTTCGAGACAGCGCACCAGAGGCTGTGGCCGGCGGTGCCGGCAACCCTGACTCACTCCTACAATCTACATGGGCCCTGCCCCGAGTTTAGGGTTTAGGATTTAGGGTTTAGGGTTTGGCAAGTTTCCGAGTGTCAGGAGTGTCGGGATTTTTTCAGGGACCAGGAATTTGTGTCTTGGGGTGGGTGGGGGGTGCAGGGGCACATGCTTCCCTCATCAATCTTCGAGAACATCTGGGCTCTGCTCCCTTCCACTCCTGGCATGGTTGCCCCTTCCAATTTGCATGAAGCCCCATGTGAGGTTTTACATGATGTAGCCGTCCCTGTATTAGGGTGCTTTCAAAAGTCCCCAATTGTGATGTGTCATGGTGGTCTTTTCGGGGCCAGGTTGTGGGAAGTAGGGCAGTGAAATTCGAAAAGGGTCATTGACTTAGAGAATTTCATGCATCCAGTTTCAACTGCTCTCTTTCGACAAGAACAAGCCCATGTTGCCTGGGGCCCCCAGATAGATGCACTACTGCGCGTGTTGCTTGCTTGTTCTTACGGGGACGTAAGCAGTGTCAACACTGCTCGAAGCAGTCCGCCCAATTCTTAACCTTGCACATTGTTTGCTTGCACCATTGACCGGCCGCCCCTGTAAATTTCGTAGGAATTCCCGACGTAATTGTTAAGCAAATTGTACTTTCTCGAACCATACAAATTGTCTTCCTGCATCTTTCCTAAGATGTCTGTTACCCCAGACCCTAAACCCTAAGCCTAAGCCCTAAACCCCAAGCCTTCCAAACGGGAGTAAGCGCCAAAGCTCGTCTTCTCATGCAGGCTGTGACATACTGGACTACAGCCCTTCTGAGCTATCTCCTGTGCCCAAGTGATTGATGGAATTAGTTTTGGGGTGGGGGGCTTCCGGGTGGCGGATGGGGGTGGCTTCTGGGGTGTTCAGGGTGTAGGGCTAGGACCCTAAATCCAGAACCCTAAACCCTATTTCCTCTTCTTAATTTGAAGTCCTTAAGGGGCATACTCAAGTTGTAAGGACTGACTGGAGCCTTTCTGGGACGGAATAACAATCTACCAGTTTTTCTCTTATCCAGGTGATACTGTTGCACTGTCCTTCCCGGCCGGGAATATAGAAGTACACTGCATGACTAGTGCTAGCAGCATTTTCACAGTATCCAAAGATGCTGATCCAGGTGTCCCATCCTAATGGAGTTCGAAGCGTCTGGCGACTTCACGATTGCTGCGCGCTTGCGAACCTCCATGCGGCGCAACGCAGTCTTCTACATTGCGTATACCCTCATTCTGGGAATCCTCCTTGCCATTCTCATAGTGCGGGGCGAAGTACAAGGACTGGAAGTTCCCTGAAGATAATTTCAAATTTCCTCTATCTACAGTAGAATCTACAGTCCCAAGAACCAGCCAAAATTATCTTGCTATTATTACTATTATCATTCTATGATTATTGCTGTTATTACTATTGTTATGACTATTGATACTTACTAGCGAGGTTCCAGGGAACTTAGAGAGGAGATGTTCAGAGCTGGTGCATTGCTGCATCCAATGCCTGGGGCCTCTTTGTCCTCACGGTCCTCATGGGCTTCGGGTTGGTGGCCGTGCCACGGCACTTTTGGAGTTTGGCGGATCCCTCTGCCCTCTTGCAGGATCTCTACGTCAGTGCCTGGGTTGCTGTAAAGGAGTATACATTAAGTTGCCGCAATATGGATGCATAGTAAATCATAGAGTTTAGTCAACTTAAGTTCTTTAACAGCAAGCTCAGGTGCCGTGGTGAAAGATGAAACTTGCCTGTCCAGCGGGTAGCATGTGACCTCTTCGGGTAATAACAAGCCCAATATACACACAAAAGGTTAACCTTGGGAGAGCTCTAGATACTGAACAATAAAGGCGATGAATTGCCTATATCATAGTGCCATATTCTTGTATGCTTATAGTCTAGGGTACCTTAAGTAGACCTCAAAGGAAATACGGCTGAGCCGGCTCTTCGACTTGCAAGATACAGTGGTGCAAGCACGCTCCGAGCTGGCTGCCCATGCGGGAGCTTCCCAAATTCAAGGGTCCTTCTTGTTTTTTAGCTCAATGCTAGGTATTGGGATTGTACAGGAGTTATACAGGATCATATGCATTTCCAGATTTTGTTTGGGACCTTCGAACTCCCCCTCAACCGCGTTTGAGATTGATGTCCGTATTTCTGCCTAGCCACCCACCCAATTCAGGACCCTTGACACCAAAGCTTTTTTGGTACCACTATCTTGAAGAACCCTAAACCCTGAACCCCTAAACCCTAAACCCCTAAACCCTAACCCCTAAACCCTAAACTCTAAACCCTAAACCCTAAACCCTAAACCCTAAACCCCAGGTGGAACTGGAGGAACATGCCGCGCCGACACGCCTGGCCTTCGCGAAGCTGCGCCTTGGCGGTTTTGGGGGGGTTTAGGGTTTAGGGTTTAGGGGTTTTAGGGTTTGGGGTTTAGGGTTTAGGGGTTTTAGGGTTTAGGGTTTAGGGCCAGTTTCTTTGGGTCTTTCAGGGTGGTTATATAGGGGTTACATTGGGGATATATTGGGATAATGGAAAAGAAAATGGAAAGTACTATCATGGGCTATAGGTTCTTTGGGGTTTAGGGTTTAGGGTTTAGGGGTTTAGGATTTAGGGTTTAGGGGGTGGTTCTTGCAGAAAAGCTCTAGTATCTTGGGAGTTCTAAGTCCCTGGTGATTTTGAAGCTGCTAATGGAGAGGCCCGAATATGAACAACAGATCCTTAACAGTGGACATAGGAGTCCCTCTTGTAGTTAGCATAGTCCCAGATATAGTCCCCAATGAGGAGCCCATGTCCAGTAATTGTATGGTTAAATATTGACAGTAGCTCATGCAATCCCAGTTTCCATCTGATGTTCCATTCTCCTCTTCATTCAACTCTCCACTATTCTAGCTACTTGCATCGCCTAACCCCTAAATCCGGAGCCCATAAATCCCGTATAGCCGTATATAACTCATTTAGCCCCTAAAACTTCAACTCTAAAACCCCGAACCCTAAAACCCAAAGTTCTAAACCGTATACCCTTGACCCTAAACCCTATACCCTAAACTTAAACCCTAAATTCCTAAACCCTAAACCCTAAATCCTAAACCCTAAACCCTAAACCCTAAATTCCTAAACCCCTAAACCCTAAACCCAAATGACCCCCTTGTGAAGGTGTCAGGTAGCAGACCGTTGCGAGCTGCTCCACCGGGAGCTCAGCGGCTCGCGACTGCGTGCCCGCGACAAAGAAGCTGGGTTGCTGTTAGGGAACTTATGTTTAAGGGTTTAGGGTTTAGGGTTTTAGGGTTTAGGGGTGTAGGGGTTTTAGGGTTTTAGGGTTTTAGGGTTTAGGGGTTTAGGGGTTAGGGGTTTAGGGGTTAGGGTGTAGTTTAGGGTATATATATATATATTGGGGTTTTATGGGGATAATGGAAAAGAAAATGGAAACTACTATTTAGGGTTGGGGTTTTGTGTATTTTCTCTGTTTAAGTTATTCTGACAAGGGTACATAGGGTATTGAGGGTATTCAGGGCACATAGGGTATTTAGGGCATTCAGGGTCTAGGGTTTCGGGTTACTGTAATAAGGAAACCTTAGTATCTATTAAATAGACCCATATGATGGTAAGTTCCAAAACAGCAACCCAGGAAGACCGGCACGCACCAGGAGGCCAGGCTCTCATTCTAAAAATAGGTTGGTTCAAGGGCGCCGAAGTGGGTTATATAGGGATACAAGAGTTATGTAGGGGTTACGTAGATGTATTTGGGGTGTATTGGGTTATATAGGGATATGTAGGGTTTAGATCCTGGGCCTAAACTAGAGGAGAATAAGCTCCCAAAGGGAAATCAAGTGGTAACTTGTGGCTTACTGGGGTTTATGGGGATTCCAGGATTTGAGCCCTATATCATGCGAGTTCTTTATGGAGTTGTTTGGAGAAGGCCGCATGTCTATCAAATTATTCTTCTTGCCGGCAACAGAAACCCTAAACCCTAAACCGCACAGAACTACAAATTCACATTTCTGTCACAAACTCACAGTTTTCAGACTCATTATTGTTGTAATTGAATAGTGCTCATCCACAACTCCAGCCTGCAAAACTAGGACCCTGACACTATCATATGATGATAGCGGGGTCCAAAATTTTGGCCGTTGGGGTTGCCAAAAACCTTTCTTAGGTTATGAGAGCTTCTTTCATTCCTTGCCAGCCATAGGGGTTTAGGGTTCAGGGTTTAGGGTTAAGGGTTTAGGGTTTAAGGTTCAGGGTTTACGGTTCAGGGTTTAGGCTTAGGGTTTGGGGTCCCCTAACCCCAAACCCCAAACTGTAATTGCTTTGGTTGCAGGTGGAGAAGACCTTGAGCGAGCTACCGGCAACGTGCCCTTGCATCCGCCGATCGGGCCTCAGTTCATTGTTTAGGGTCTAGAGTCTAGGGTTGAAACCCCGCACCCCAAACCCGCACCCTAAACCCCAAACCCTAAACCCCAAACGCCACACCCTAAACCCTTGAGGCCGTCGTTGGCCCGCTTCGCGCAGCTGCACCGGTCACTGAAAGAGGCTGCCCTGGAGGCTCGCGTCTTAATGTCACCCAGGCCCAGCGGCCCAACCCTCCCCTTTCAAGGGGATGTAGGGTTCAGTGTGCAGGGTTTAGGGTATACGGTTTAGAGTTTAGGGCTTCCCAATAGCAGGGGTACTGCTGTGCGGGTCCTTATATACCCTAAACCCTAAGCCCTAAACATTCGGGGTCGAATTTAGGGCCCCTTTACTTTGGGAGACTACCATGTCACCGAGCTTGGGATCTAGGGCTTAAGTCATACTGTTGATAGATGAAATCCTGCACCACCGAAAGTCCCGAAAGTCCTGGGAATTACAGTAGTTTAGTGGCTCTAAGTGGTGCAAGATTTCCGCCATCAACAGTAACACCCTAGACCCCAAACCCTAAATAGTAGCTTCCATTTTCTTTTCCACTATCCCTACATTACCTATATTCCCTATATAACCCCCTACATCCCCCATATAAGCATTTAGGGTTTAGATTTGTCAGGGTTTAGGTTTTAGGGCTCACGCCTCGGTCTCCAGGGTTTAGTAGGGTTATATTGGGTATATATTGGGGTATAATGGAAAACAAAGTGGAAACTATTATAGTATTATGGGGTGTATATTGGGGTATGATAGGGTTTAGGTGTGAAGGTTTGAGAGTTGGTAGTCTCTCTAAATAGAGGGACAGCAATATACACCCCAGTATACTAGAATCCTTATTCTGGAAACCCCAAAAGGGTACCTCTAATTATAGTAATCCCCCATTCAATAGTAGTTTTGCGCACCCTGTAGAGTAACAGCTGTTACAACTTAGTTGGGCATGTTGAGGATCATTACCAGGTTCATGGGAAACCGTGCACACTGAAACTCGTTCATGCTGGCTTTGGCCTCCGCAACCAAAATCAATAGGTAGAATAATAGTAATAGTAACCATGGTAATAGTAATAATCCAAATAGTAATATCAATAGTAAAAATATTTGTCACAATAATAATGAGTAAAATGCATAGTAATGGTATTAGTAATACTAGTAATAGTATCCTCTTCTCGCCACAAAGTTCAGTACCCCTACCTTCGCAGCAACTTGACCTTGCCGGCTGCTGGTCTCACTCTGCTTTTGAAGCACTTAGTCTGAGACTGGATGGATCTGCTGCTAGGAAGCAACTCCCTCGGCAGAGGGAGCCCCCGAGTTCTAAATCCCGAACCGTGAACCATGAACCGTAGATGAAGGTTCAGGGGGCTTGGCAACTACTTGTACCCGGGCTTATTGTCTTACTTGCAAATGGGGTAACCTACACAAGTTGGGCAATTTCCAAGTAGTCAGTAATCCACATGGGTGGTTGTCAAAATTATGGTCCCTTTTTGGATCCCTATTATAATACGGCACCTAATATTTAGGGTACCCAAAAAAAGGGACCATAATTTTGACAGCCACCCACATGAACCTTCCACTCAGACAAGACTAAGGCTCGTAGGGCGTCCCGCTGCTTCGACAGCCATATCGAGCGCTGCATGTACTTCGAGGAAGTCTGCTTCTATCATCGCCATACATAGTAGTTTCCATTTTCTCTTCCATCGTCCTTACATATACCCCGAAGTAATAGTTTCCATTTTTGTTTTCATTATCCTTATATACCCCTATATCAGCTGGGTTTCAAAGTGGGGTTTCCAAGACTTGAGGATCCCTCTTTCGCGGGGTTCCCTCATGAGGATTTTAGTATTTGGGGTGTCTTTGACGGGGAGCCGAGGTTGACTTACCTTGAAGAAGGCTGTGTAGAAACTCAAGAAGCAAGGCCCCACTGTCCTTCTTTGTTCTTGTTTGCGTAGGCCTGTCAAGCTGTCAAAACCCAAAACCCTATTCCCCTGAACCCCTAAACTCCTAAACCCTTAAACCCTAAACCCCTAAACCCAAAAACCCGTAAACCCCTAAACCCTATTCCCCCGAACCCCTGCACCCCTAAACTCCTAAACCCCCAAACCCCTAAACCTTATTCCCCTGAACCCGGAAGCCCTAGACCCGCCGGGGCAGAGGACCTCCAACAGGGAGATCACTCGGCTGCGGCAAACATGCTGGGCTGGTGGGGGCCTCAGGGGTTTAGGGCTTAGGG